AGCCACAAGATGGCAGCGCTCAGTCCCCTCAGCCATGCCAGAGTCCCCAGTCTTTTCAGCCCAGCCAGCGGGGGTGGAGATGCACTGTGCAGTTGGACCTGCCCTCAGCTGCCCAGCCACCCAGGGCCAGCCCGAAGTGCAGGCAAGCCTCAAATAGTGGTTGCCCAGCCAATGCCCAAGGCACAGGCAAGTCTTGGATGGTGGCTGCCCAGCCACCCAGGGCCACTCCAGGCTCAGGTAACTAGGGCTAGCTGAGGCTTGTGCTGCTGGCAGTGGCAGCAGCAGAGGTGTGATGGGGGTGTTGCCTTCTCCTGATCACTGGATTGCCTCCCATCCCTGAGGGCTCCCAGACTGTGAGAGGGGCCAGGCCAGGTTGAGGGACTTCCCCTCCAATGCATGAATTTTTATGCACTGGGCCTCTAGTATGTTACATATTTTTACAAGATATAAAATACATGTTATAGCTGAAACCAGTTTGGCTCAGTGGTGGAGCGTCGGTCTGCAGACTGAGGGGTCCTGGGTTCAATTCCCGTCAGGGGCATGTACATTGGTTGCGGGCACATCCTCGATGGGGGGTGTGCAGGAGGCAGCTGGTCGATTCTCTCTCATTGACGTTTCTGGCTCTCTATCTCTCTCTCTTTCTCTCTGTAAAAAATCAATAAAATATATTTTTTTAAAAATAATAATAAAATACATGTTATATATATAACATTAAAAAATTACATATGTACATCCCTAACTGGTTTGGCTCAGTGGCATCAGGCTTCAGACTAAAAGATCCCAGGTTCAATTCCGGTCAAGGGCATGTACCTTGGATGTGAGCTCCATCCCTAATAGGAGATGTGCAGGAGGCAGCTGATTGCTGTTTCTAACTCTCCACCTCTCGCCCTTTTTCTCTGTAAAAAATCAATAAGAAAATATATATTTTAATATATTTTTCTTGATTTCAGAAAGGAAGGGAGAGGGAAAGAGAGATAGAGAGAAACCTCAGTGATGAGAGAGAATCATTGACTGGCTACCTCCTGCACGCCCCCTACTGGGGATTGAGCCTGCAATATGGGCATGTGTCCTTGACCAGAATCGAACCCAGGACCCTTCAGTCCACAGTCCTACACTATATCCACTGAGCCTAACCGGCTATGGCAAGAATATATTTTTTAAACATGACATATGTACATTTTTACAAGCAGAGTTGAGTTGTATTTACTAAGAGGGTTAAGTTCTAAAGTGCATACATCAGGTGAATACCAAACAAAAGTGATATTAGCCTCAGGAAGTGCCTGCAGTCTGTGATGCATCTGAGAGCCACACAGGTGAGCCACATGTTACCTGCTCTCCCTCCTCCACTCTGCCCATGGCTCCCGTAGTGTGGTCTTTGAATGATCCATCCCTGTGTCATAGTTCTAAGCTGCCACCTTGTGGCTGTTACATAGATGTGGGGTTTTCTAAAATCATTTTTTTAAATTTTCAATGACAACCAACATACATTATAATATTAGTTTCAGGTGTACACACCAGTGATGAGACGGTACGTAACTTACTAAGTGATCACCCCGATCAATCTCCACCCATCTGACACCGTGGTTATTAGGATAATGTTATTTCCCTGTGCTGTACCTCACATCCCCATGGTAATTCTATTACTACAGATTTGTACTTCTTAATCCCTTCACCTTTCTCACCCACCACTCAGCCATCTTCCATCTGGCAACTGTCAAAATATTCTCTGTATCTATGAGTATGTTTCTGTTCTGCTTCATTTATTTTGTTTCGTAGACTCAATTGTTGATAGATTTGTATTTATTGCCATTTTATTGTTCATATTTTGGGGTGTTTATTTTTCTTCTCCTACTTAAAGAGGTCCCTTTAACATTTTATATAATACTAGAGGCCCTGTGCATGAAATTCATGCACAGGAGGGGAAAATCTCTTCAGTCCAGCCTGCACTCTCTCCAACCCAGGAACCCCTCAGGGGATGTCTAACTGCCAGTCTAGCAATTAGACATCGCTCTCACAATCCAGGACTGCTGGCTCCTAACTGCTCTTCTGCCTGTCTGACTGATCGCCCTAACTGCCTCTCTGCCAACCTGATCACACCTAACTCCCTCTGCCTGCCAGCCTAATCACCTCCAACTGTCCACCCCCTGCCGGCCTGGTCACTTCTTATTGCCCACCCCATGCAAGCCTGGTCTCCCACAACTGCCCACTTCTATCAGCCTGGTCACCCCTAGCTGCCTCACCCTCCCCACAAGCCTGGTCTCCCTCGACTGACACTTCTCTGCCAGCCTAGTCACCCCTTACTATCCCCACCCACCAGCCTGGTTGTCCCCAACTGCCCCCCCCACTTCTAGCCTGGTCACCCCATGCAGCCTGCTGTTTGGTTGTTACTATTACTGTGACAGTGTCCCAAACAATTTGCATAGCCCTCTATTATTAGTATAGACTAGGGGCCCAGTGCACCTGACCACTTTCAGTTGATCACAAGGCCCCACCCCCTTGTTTATGTCACTGCTTCTGACTGTTCACATGTTCCTACCCACACCTCAGTTCTCCTGTTTAAGTCACACTGCCAGCTGTTCAAATGGCTCCACCTCATTTACATTACCACTTTCAGCATTTCACCTGGCCCCTCCCCCTATTGACATGACCACTTCCAGCTGTTCACCTGGGCCCGCCCCTTCCTTCCAGAAGCCCCGCTCCCTTGATCATTTGACCAATGAGACACACTGGCCAGGCTGCATTGCTCCTCACATAGAGGGATGGACTTCCCAATCTCTGGAAATTGTGTTAAGTGACTACAACCCCCAAAAGCAGATAACCTTTTGCTCACAGGTTGCTTCCTAACCAGGGGTGAGTTCCCCAAGCAGGGATCACAAGCATCCCTTTAAAACAGCCATGGACTCCATGATTCTAGGGACTGCCCATCATCCCCACCATCGGGTCTCTCACAATGGAGTGTCCTTTGGCCCTCAGAGCCCTGTCTGTGGGCTTTGAAAGTGCACAGAGCTGTATTAAGTCCTTGAAAACACTTTCCTTTCTTGGAGCACTGTCCAGCCCCCTCCAGTTACTAAATGGTCGCTTTCTGCATCATTCATGGAGAATGCCCTTCCTTGAAGACATGCAGTATAGACCACAGGAAGGTGGGACTTTTGCATCCACATGTGACCCTCCTCATTCCGGGGGCTAAATGGCCTTATCCACTTGACCATTTCCAGCTGTTGACCTGGCCCCTCCCCACTGTTAACATGACCACTTCCAGTTGTTGACCTGGCCCCTCCCCACTGTTAACATGACCACTTCCAGCTATTCACCTGGCCACGCCCCCTGGTTGACCTGACCACTTCCAGCTGTTCACCTGGGCCTTCCCCCTTGTTCCAGAAGCCCCGCCCCCTTTTTCATTTGACTACTGAGCCACCCTGGCCAAGCTGCTTTGGTCCTCACAGAGGGATGGACTTCACAATCTCTGGAAGTTAATTGCTTAAACCCCCAACCGCAGATCACCTTCTGCTCACCGGTTATAATATATATTTAAAATTTCTTAGTTCCTAATATGGTAAATAATGAAAAATATAACCCATATAAGTAAAAGCTATTTGGGATACTCAATTTGTAAGCACAAGAATCTTGAGAGTTCCAGAACTGCTGCCTCAGCTGTATAAATATTGCACCTTTTGTTAGCATTATGAGTCTAGTATTTGTTAATCTCTAGTGCTGTGATGGAAGGCATTCTGCTACCTTGCTTGGTCCACAGCCTTCAGATACTACTTAATCCACACTAAACTAGTAACTAGTGGCCTGGGGTCTCTCACTACTTAAGTTCAGGGCTTTTCTAATGAATACCCTCCCCACTAGAAGTCCACATATTTGTAAGCCCAGACTCCACTGTCATGAATCAATCCTGCAGTGGGATGTCTTAGTAAAGAGTAAATCTTACTTTGTAATCTACATAAACAAACTTTTTGTTAACATGGTGTTAAAATGGCTAAATATATTTCCACTATATTCAATGGGCATGCTTAGGATGGTCTGAATTAAAAGTTAGGTGGCATATGTAAAATTCACTTTGGAACTACATGAAAAAGATAGAGATTCATCCTCCAGCTGAAATTGAGGTCACATTTTTTTTTTTTAAGCAAACTTTAAAAGGCATTTTGGAATGACTGGCCAGAAACATAGGATACACATGTATAAAATACTCTTAGAGGTTCCTGGGATAGGAAGGCAGAGCAGAGAGATAACATCCATCCAAAGCATCCGAAACTGAAATATGAGATCTACATTTCAAGTGACTGAAATATACCATATACATTAAAATGTGAGAGATAGAGAAGACATACTAGTTTCAAATATCACATCCCCTCGCTCCAACTGAAGCAGCCCACTCCAAGCTGCTGCTTCCATTAGAGATGTCATGTAACATGCCTCAGGATGACCACCACCAGCAGGGTTTGCTTAGTGATGGCTAATGATTCTCTCAAACAACACAGGGCAGGCCAGCTAGTTTATTCATATTAAATCTAAACTCTGGATCTCTGGCTTAATATTAAGAAACCTGTAAAGACAATAAATTTTGCATTAAATCAGAGATGGCTTAAATCAGTCACAGAAGTTCTAATATTCTGAGCTGGCAACTACTGCATAACAAATGTTCAGTCCAATTACAAAACCACATTTCATTTCCTTGGCCACAAAATCTTTCACAGATTTGAAAAAATGCTTTTACCATATACCCACTGCTACCAGTCACGTAACTGTAGTTTCTTCATCCCCCAGGAACATAATTAAGTGAAAGGGTTTTTTCTTTGATCAGTCTTTAGATATGTGATAACTCAGAGTAAGTTTAAAGAATGAAGATGAACTGAGATGCCAAGTAAAGTTTTTATTGCAAGCACAGTGAGCAGGAGGTGTCTTCTCACACAAAGTGGCTGCCAGGTCTGCCATTAACTACATCTCTTTGACAGCCCTTCATTGGTTTAAAGCATATTAGTTGGTTCTTGCTATCAGGTGTACATCATTTCTGCCATGTGGGACATTTTCTTGGGAATATACAAGTAATATTCCATGTAGCCTGATAGGTCCTCAATGGTCACATCATCCACATAGACTCGAGCTTGTTCAGAACAGGAGCGCGGGGAGCCAGACAGAGTTCTGGTGTGAAGCGACTGAGAGTAGTCCTCAAGCGTAGATCTTCGTTCTGGGGCCAAGGGAGGGACATTCTGCAAGCCTGAAAAGGAATACACCTCCATATCATGCCACCTCTTACACTGGCACTCCTTGCCTAAGCATGCACATGGCTGGCCCTGGTTAAGCTTGGAAACGGATTGAAAGTCAGCGAGATCATTGGCCTTGAGACTTGCTTGTGAGACTTGAGTAGCATCAGAAGAGTCTTCCTTCGTATTCTCTGATGGCAGCCTTGGAACCGAAGTTCTCAAAGGCTCAACAACTGCCCCTGTGTGATTAGTATCAAGAGAAGTAGAGCATTCTCCTGCATTGAAGTCTTTAGAGGTTGAAATTGCCAGCCCACTGCTTCCATCAGGAGAGTCAATCTGGCCTTTGTGCTTGAGCTGGCTGCTGGAAGAAGATGCTATTGTGCTGCAATGTATAAACTTTGGGGGATGAAGGACAGGAGATTTAGACCGTCGACGACGTTGGGTTCTCATTGCTCCTCGTGAAGATTTCCGTGTAGAGCTAAGAGGAAAAAAATATATAAGATGTTGGGATACAGAGCTCTCCTATACAAATTCTTTAGGACAGTTTGAAACCTGCCCCCTCTCAGACGTATGAGTCTAAGTGGTCTTAAGTTTCTCCCAAAGGGATGTGCCCGCCTCCCCTTATGTCTCCAAAACGCTAACATCTCCATATTAGCCAGCTATAAAAACAAGAGGTAAAGGGTAGTTTTTACCTGCATTTCTTGAGCCAAACACTTAGTGCCGAACACCCACCCTGTCCCAACCCTTGGCTCAGGAACCTGTGACCCAACGGGTTTGGAGAAGCATCCTGCATAGACAACTGTAAGGTGCAAAAACTAAATGTTTCTTTGCCCTGAATTCAGCAGCGTCAGTATCAATGTGAGGTTAATGCTACAAATGGCCATTATGCCAGATCTCTAAACAGAGCAGCAGGTTTAGGGTTCGTTTCTATCACTAATTAACAGCTTACAGATTTAGACTCCTGAAGTTTTCAGATACTAGAACATATCAGATAAAGTACATAACTTTTTTAAAAAATACTTAATAAACAAAAGAACTGAGCAAAGCAAAAAGGAGACAAAACTGCCAAGCAAGTATGAAAACAGAACCAAATAAAATTTTAAGGAATGAACTTTATATTTGAAAATAAACTAAACAGATGGGCTAAGCACACAGTTAGGGAAAGAAATACTAAACTATAAGATATATAAAATTATTTATAACAGGGGTCAGCAAATTATAGCCCATGGGCTAGCACTGAGAGCTACAGAGACCAGGCTGAGGTGTCCCCCTTTCTCCCCATCACTCCCTGAGCCTGCCTTCCTGGCCAAAAGACATCAGACATGCCACACCTCTGCTTAGGGTCCATGCTGCTACTATTAACATGTTGGGGCTCTGCTGTCGGCAATCACTGGGCACTGAGAAGCAGAATCTCAGTTTGAGTGTCTGGCCTATGCCAGTCTTTCTATGGAAGAGAGAAAGACATACTAGAATCTGAGTACCACTAGAGCTGAAAGTAAAACTGACCCTGGCATTGCCCCCAACCCAGCCATCCCACAAATCTAGTCATTTCATCCTAAGACTCTCAGCAGCAGAACACAAAGTGTGTCCACCAGGCAAGATAGCCCTGATCAGGCAGGTAGGGCAGGAGTTTTCTCCCTTATGTAAGTACCTACATAATATGCTCAGATCTCACCTCTCGCCTACCAAAACTTAAAATATTTACTGTTTGACCCTTTACCAAAAATAAATAAATAAATAAATAAATAAATAAATAAATAAATAAATAAATAAATAAAATGTTTGCTGACCCCTGACCAAGAAGGCAATACAGAGACATGGAGAGTTGGAAAAAAGTAACAGTTAAGAGATGTAAGACTAAGAAATCTGGTATCTCTAAAAGACTACGGAGAAGGAAAGAGAATGGTTTTTAAAGAGATAACAGCTGGTAAATTTTTTAAATTGACGAAAGAGAATCTAGAGATATAGAAAGCACACTGAAGCAAATGATAGATACACTAGAGCAAACTATAGAATACCAAACCAAACAGGAACTGGGTAAGAGCTACTTGAGACTAGACAGATTATTTCCAAAAGGACAATTACAATAGATCAGTGGTTATCAACCTTTCTAACCCTTTAACACAGTTCCTCATGTTGTGGTGACCCCCCAACCATAACATTATTTTCCTTGCTACTGTCATTATTATAACTTTGCTACTGTTAATGAATCGTAATGTAAATATCTGTGTTTTCCGATGGTCTTATGCGAACCACTGAATTAGATGAAAAGAAGGCTTTTCAATGTGAGCATGGAAGCCAGAAGACAAGTACTAAGAGAAAATAACTATCAATCTAGAACTATGATTTCAGGTATATATCAACTCAGGTATATTTTCAAAGAACAGAATTAAATAAAGCCATTTTCAGATAAATCAAAGCAAAATATATTTACCAATAGAACGTGATGTTATATAACTCCAGAGGCACCATTAAATTTATTCTATATGGAGTTCTATAACACAGAGGCCCTATTTGCCAATAATACCTTCACTAAAGGAACCTCAGAGAAATACTTTAAGAAGAAAAAAGGTGATCCTATAGAAGTTGTGAGATGCAAGAATGGTAAGAGCAAAGTTTAAATGAGATAAATCTAAGTAAATACTGTCTATTTAAATAATAATGAAGTTAAATAAAACCTAATTTGTAAGTCTAAAAAGTGACAGAATTAAAATATTCGGCAACTAGACCATGGACGTCAGATCAGAGTAAATGGGTTTTAAGAAAAATGGTTAAAATATTAACTTTTGTCTTTGTTAAGCATGTATGGTAAAATTTCAAGACTAACTACTAGAATAATAGAAACAAAGTAATCTCCAAACCAATAGAAGGAAAAATAGTAGGGAGCAAAACAAACCCATTTCAAACAATTTTTTAAAGATGAGAAAAGGGGGGAGAAGGGAAGACAACTGATAGCATAAAGTAAAACCTATGTAAATGAGTTTAAGCAGTTAAAAATTATCAGATAAATAAAACAAGTCAGATGTATTTGAGACACACCTAAAATTTTAAAACACAGAATGATTGAAAATACTAGAAAAAATACACTAGGCAAATAATAACTAAAAGACAATTATATTAGCTATATTAATTCCAGACAAAATAGAATTTAAGATAAAAACCATCATGAGGGATTAAGAATGTCTCAATTCATCACAAAGAAAACATTCTAAACTGTAATTAATGTAGGCCGTATGAACCTACAAAATAGCCTCAGAATACATAAAGCAAAAATATAGAGCTTAAGGGGAAACCAGACAAATGGATTCCTATAAAGGAGATTTTAACTTACTTCTCAATAATTGATAGGTCAAGCTGATAAAAAATTATCTTAAAAATTCAAATAACACTATTTTAAATAATTATTAAAAGCTTAGTTTAATGGACATAGATGGAACTCAAGAATGATTAGAGAAAACTCATTCTCAAACAAACATAAAGCTGGAAACTAAGTTTATAAAAATTGACTATGCACAAGAATATACAGCAAATCTCAGCACATCCATAATTGGGAAGAATGGATCTTCTCTAAACATTGAGTCTTGGGTTCTGTATCATACATACTCATTTCTGGATACATGGCGGGAAAATTCCAGTAATATTTTAAGGTATTGAGTTAAAAATCATTTGTAAGAGGCAGCTCTTACCCATGCCAACTGTCTTTAGATGCACATGTGGTTTTAGATTTGGTATCATCTGCTGCTGTTCTGACTGATGCTCTGACACTTGGGCCTTCTCCAACAGACAGAGATGCGATGAACCTGAAGAAAATAACAAAATTTACAGCTACAGAACTTATTGCTTTCACCAATCCAAACAAAACTCGTTTTCTTTCTAGTTTGAGTTTCTCAAAAATTATTCAGCTTTTAGTGCAAATTTTCCTTTAGAACCAAATTTAGAGGATCCCTAAAAAGCCCACTGTTGTAAAATCACAAGCCAAAGAAGGATTCTTAAGTATAACCAGCACCAGGATAAAAATAGACTTTAGGCTGTTTATCTGGGGCAGATCAGGCCTTATGTCCAGGGAGAATGCTAATGACACTGACCACTTATTTTATGTGTGCAACCAGAGCTGGAAATTAAGTTTAGGAGCAAAGCTTTAGGAGACTCAATCTAACTTGAAAATGAACACATTTTCAAATATTATACAACTTTTAGAAAAATATTCCAATTTTTACAACTAATAAACTTGAAATATTTACTTAATTAAATCTTGGCAGTTTGAAATTACACAAGTAATATGGGTTTCCAGCAAAGAAGATGAAAAAATATAAAAGAGCAAAAAAAACAATTATCTATAATCTCACACCTGGAGATAAGCAACATTAACATTTTAGTATGAATCCTTTTAGACTTTTCAACACACACACACACACACACACACACACACACACACCGCTTCTACCTCACATTTTGTGGTACCGATAAAAACCCTTTAGAAATATAAAACCTACTAAAGTAAAATAAAAAGATATCCACTGAAATATAATTAAAAATAAAAAGTAACTGAGAATAATTTAATGTCTAATAAATAGAAAATACTCCATTATATAAATTATTGCAGGTCTATGCAATGGAATATTAGAAACATAATTAGTATTAAAAATTAAGTGTATAAAGACCTTTTAATAACATAAGAGAATACTTATTAAGAGGAAACAGCATGGATAAATATCTATACATAATGATCTCAACTGTATACAAAATACATGGTGTTATATATAGTCTATATATTAACAGTGATTATGGTGAAATGTGTTTACTTCCTTTTTTATTTTTGTGAACTTGTCTAAAATAAGCATGTATTATTCTATAGTCTGATAAAAAGGATTATGTTGTTTTATAATAAATATATCAAGATTTATGTTGTTTTATAATAAATATATGAAGATTTATCTTGATAAGACAAATACCCTTAGAAATCAAAACCTGCTTAACAGGATCATGCTAAATTCCAGGCAAGGCTTGGTTAGTTTATGAGTCAGTACCTCAGATGTCCCATTTGTAAGTCAGCAACTCAATGAAACAACTAGAGATGTAGGATACATTATAGAAGTCTTATTCTGCTTACTCATGGTAATGACTCACCCCTTCTCTTATTTGTTCAGTTTTCTCAAATGCTCTTCATTACTACTTCTCTTTCTATAATTGTACTCAAAGCAGATCACATGCTACAAATATATATTTGGTTATATATTATACAGATATTTTGAAAGTTTTTTTTTTAAATATATTTTATTGATTTTTTTACAGAAAGGAAGAGAGAGGAATAGAGAGTTAGAAACATTGATGAGAGAGTATCATCGATCAGCTGCCTCCTGCACACTCCCCACTGGGGATGTGCCCGCAACCAAGGTACATGCCCTTGACCGGAATTGAACCGGGGACTTTTCAGTCTGCAGGCCAATGCTCTATCCACTGAGCCAAACCGGTTTTGGCCTGAAAGGTTTTTTAATGTTCAAGTAATTTTTAAGAGTACTGAAACAGCTTAATTTTATATTCCAATATTTTTTTAAATGTATTTTTATTGATTTCAGAGAGGAAGGGAGAGGGAGAGAGATAGAAACATCAATGATGAGAGAGAATGACTGGTTAGCTGCCTCCTGCACATCCCCTACTGGGGATGGAGCCCACAACCTGGGCATGTGCTCCTTAACCAGAATCGAACCTGGGACCCTTCAGTCTGTAGGCCAACGCTCTATCAACTGAGCCAAATCAGCTAGAACCCAACTTCTTAAAATATCAGGAAAAGAATCTGTATATCAAGAGTTATTTAGAAAATATATATATTAAGAAATTTATATGTGCACATGTATATATGCAGCATTCCTAGTATTTTCCTGTTTAAACATTTTTTTTTTCTGTACCCAAAATCATGAAAGCATAAACTGACCACAATCTGGAACTGTTTCTCTGCTCTGTTTCCATTTCCCAAAAAGGCTTATGAAGTGCCAATCAACTTTCATGGCAAAATGACCACAATATTGAAAAAAACAAACAAACAAACAAACAAACAAAAACACTGGAAAGGGATACTTATTTAAAGTATCATGAGCCGAAACTGGTTTGGCTCAGTGGATGGAGCGTTGGTCTGCGGACTGAAAGGTCCCAGGTTCAATTCTGGTCAGGGGCATGTACACTGGTTACGGGCACATCCTCAGTGGGGGGTGTTTAGGAGGCGGCTGGTCGATGTTTCTTTCTCATTGATGTAACTGGCTCTCTATCCCTCTCCCTTCCTCCCTGTAAAAAATATATTTTAAAAAATTAAAAAAAAAAAGTATCATGGAAGCAAATGTGTGCACCTGTAGCAGCTATTACACAATTAGTATATTTAGCATAAATTAGTCTATTATAATAGTATAAATCTCATTTCGTAGGCCAAAATAGTGTTAGCAATAAGCAGACAACTATAACAACATCTATTTAATTTCTACTATTGTTAGAACATAAAATTAAGCTTCACGCATTTCTTCAAGTTGTCTGCAAAGAATGATGTAAGAGCACAGGTTTTGGAGACAAACTGTCAGGGTTTCTTACCGATGTGATCTTTAACAAGTAGCTTAATTCATCTTGTCTATAAACTAGAATAACAGTAATAACTATCTTCTAAGTTGGTAGTGAGGACTACATAATGTATATAAAGTACTTAGGTTTGTGTCCAGGACATAGTGAGTAAAATATTTAGTGATTATTATTATTACTTGTGGAGTTTTCTACTCTGTTTCCAGTGTTTGGTTTCTTTTCATGAAAAGAAATGTTCTTATATCTATTAAAAATCTGAGATTTCTTTCGGCCTGGGGCAAAGAATGGGGATGAGAAGAATACTGCACAGAATATTATGCAAAGGGTGAAATTTTAACATTCAGACAGCAGCTGGTCTGTAGGTGCTCTAATTAGTTTGGCCAAAAGGTCCAAGATTATTGATCTCTGTGACAGAACCCTAATGAATAGGTTTCCATAGTGATAGTCTCAGCAATGGAACCCATGAAATTGACAACATCTGCAGAGATTTCTATTGAGGTAATTCACTTCTAGTGAAAAATACTGTGATTCCCTAGAGATATATGAGAAAATCCTTAATGGGACACCACTTGATAATGTTTGGTTAAAAAGAGAAGGAGAGCCAAAACCGGTTTGGCTCAGTGGTAGAGCGTCGGTCTACGGACTGAGAGGTCCCGGGTTCGATTCCGGTCAGGGACATGTACTTTGGTTGCGGGCACATCCCCGGTGGGGAGTGTGCAGAAGGCAGCTGGTCGATGTTTCTCTCATCGACATTTCTGGCTCTCTATCTCTTTCCCTTCCTCTCTGTAAAAAAATCAATAAAATATATTTTAAATTAAAAGAGAGAGAGAGAGAGAGAAAGAGAGAGAGAGAGAGAGAGAGAGAGAGAGAGAGAGAGAGAGAGAAGGAGAAAGCCCTCCTCAAAAATTAAGGAAGGAAAAATCAAACCATTGAACCTTGGAGTACAAATGAACTACAACTTTTCAAAATTTAACAGAAGAGTTTCTTTTACAAGAAATACAATGCTGTGCAGATTTGGTAGAGTATCACATTATTAACATTTATATCTTCCACAAATGAGAAATTTTAGTAGAGAAAAAGGCTATTTAAGTTTAGTGAATAATTCCCAAATAACATATTATATATTTAATTACCCTGATGCATCCACTCTTAATTTCTTGAAAGCAGTTTGAAGACTCTCCTCCTCTCCATCCTTGGCTTCGGATTTCATTGTGAAACTTTTTACACTATGTTGTTTCCGCTAATACTAAAAGAGAAAATCAAAATAAAATGAGAACAGTGGCAACAGGTGAGTTCAAAAGTATATATTTTGTTAAAATCTTTATTCCTGTTACTATTTTTTTTAATATATTTTATTGATTTTGTACAGAGAGGAAGGGAGAGAGATAGAGAGTTAGAAACATCGATGAGAGAGTGTCATCGATCAGTTGCCTCTTGCACACCCCCTACTGAGGATATGCCCGCAACCAAGGTACATGCCCTTGACCGGAATCGAACCCGGGTCCCTTCAGTCCCAAAGCAGACGCTCTATCCATTGAGCTAAACCAGTTTTGGCTATTCCTCTTACTATTACTGTTTGTTAGAGAAAAGGGGAATAGTAAATTTTTATTTCTAAAAAGAAGTTTCAGTATAGATGATATCTTGCGTTAAGATAGAATTTAAAATGCCCAAATACTTGATGTCAATATCCTATTACAGTTTTGGAAACAATATCACCTAAAATCTCTTTTAAATATACTTTTTTAAAGGGGGGAAAATCTCTCCATTTGTAGAGGTCTAAAAACCTATAGACAAAATGACTTTAGCATCAGAAATAAAAGGAAAAAGCTCAACAAATAGCAAAGATTTATTTTAAAGAATCAACAAATTTTGATTCTTTAAAATGCTATTTATCTAATCTAACCCTAAAAATTCTAGTTATGTGTAACTTCATGATACATAGCAGCATTTCTCCAAAGCAATCCTGACCTGAATATCATTATTCATATCAATATTCATATCCACATATCAAATTGGATATGAATATCAAAGAAGAATTACAAACATGTTTAATGATTTCTGGTTATTCCACAGTCAACCTATAAGGTTGATACCTTGTTTTGTTTTTGTTTTTGTTTTTAATAGTTTTGAATATCTTACTATAAAAGATAAAAACTAAATGAATTATACTTACAATTCAAAAAAATATAAAGAACAAACTTAGCTCCCCCCTCCAATAAAGGAGGTAGGAAATAAAGAAAAAAGAGAAATTACTGTTCTATAGATGAACATTTAAATGATGTTCAATTTTTTTAAAAGCTAAAAAATAAATAACCAAGTTTCCCCCTCCTCCCCCTAATTATTACATTTAAAACAAAGAAAAGGGATCGGGGGACCAACCAAAGCAACAAGAAACATAACTGCAGTATGTTAATAAATGCTTTAAATCTAGTTTCCCAATTATTTTTTCACTTGGTACAATATAGTAGTTATTGTTTTCAACTAGTATCTATACTATCACAGAGAATCTGGAAAACATTAAAAAAAAAAAAAAAACACAACAACAACAAAAAACAGAAGATGGGGAATTTTTGAAGCAAAGGATTCACTCTACCTCTTCTTTCTTTAACCTACTTGCTACCCCCTACCCTCCCCCCCACCCCCTTCAGGGACTCCCAGAGAGCAGTGCCTCTCTGTAGAGCCCTGATCCTCTGATTCTCTCTCCACTCATTTCTCAGGGGTGGGCTTGATGCATTGTGAGACCTCTAATATTCCAAAGGTCAGAGTGTGTTGTAATATGTTAGATATGATATGACTATGTAGTACCAATGAAGCAAGGAATCAAGACTACTTGTTTCCTTTATTTATTTACGTATAGAGGAAGATTTTAGTCAGCTTTCTCCCGGGAATGAAACATTGAACACTGAAAATATTCTCAAAAGAACTCAGCTAGCTTTCACCTCAACTTCTTAAAGACAAAAAAACTTAAAAATCACATCCCACATATATTTTGCTGGCTTATTTAATCAGTGTATGACATTATCAATTCTATACTTCACTGGTTTGTAATCTTCAGGATGTAGAGGAGGATCCTACCCCCTCCCCCCCAAACACGCACAATAATGTCCTACATACCTAGGGAGAGGAGTGAACAAAGATCACATTCTAATAATTTTAAAGCCCACAGCATCTTCGATAGAGTGCTATTGTAGGTTGTAAACAAATTCATCCTGCGGGCAGATCTAAAATAAAATTTGACTTATAGTTTTCCTCAATTACTTTATAACCAGTCAGTCAGTCAAATGCTCACTCAGACTAGCGGCCTTTATAAAGGTAAGTCATCTAAGCCGAGTCTCCTCCAATCCTGCAGACCCCACACTAACCCTCTTCTGCCTCTCTGGAAGTCAGTACATCACATCTAAATATACACTGCTGAGTTCTATAGGCAGAAATTCTCTCCTTCCACAAATACAGAATTCTTACCATGGTCGTCAGCACTAGGCTGGATGCTAAGGATGTATGGGCGGGACTGGACATAGAAGGGGCTGTGAAGCCCCGTGCTGAATGGGCTGCAATCTCTTTCCAGCCCTAAAACTGTTAAGAAGCTTTATACAGCCGAAACCGTTTGGCTCAGAGGAGCTATCTGCGGACTGAAAGGTCCCAGGTTGGATTCCAGTCAAGGGCATGTACATTGGTTGTGGGCACATCCCCGGTAGGAGTTGTGCAGGAGGCAGCTGGTCGATGTTTCTAGCTCTCTATCCCTCTCCCTTCCTCTCTGTAAAAAATCAATAAAATATATTTTTTAAGAAAAAGAAGCTCTATACCCAAATATGTAACTTTCAATTATACAGCGATAATTTAATAGCACTGCAGGTGACCTCTAAAATCCGAACCTTAACAAACTTAGTTAACATTCTTGTTGACATACTATAAGTTAAAAACCAAAGCAGACCAAAACAATCACTGGCTACAGACTAAAAGTTTAGGAACCAAGTTCCGTCTCAATTATTTTCAGACTTCAGCATTTTTTTTTATTACTCACCTTTTCTCTCAGTTATATTACTAACCCTGAGCAAGGTTAAGTGTTCAGCACGATCTTAAGAGCCAAATCAGAGCCAGTTTGTAATTTACAAAAGGCTTCGTACTCTCAGTATTCCTACCTTCCTATTCGCTCACATCAGGAGCTCCAGGACAAACTTCGGAAAACACAATGGGTCTGCCCCCTCTTCATTCACATTAAACTTGTGGGAGACTTTCTCGCCGTTTTCACAGCGCTGATTTCTTGAACTTGAACAATCTCCCAAAAGATAAAACTTTTAAAGGCCTATTAGAAGTTACTTTGTCAAATCACACAGGGCAATTTTTGCCTCCGATTTTCCCCAACCTTTCAAAAACGGCAAGCAAAATGCTTCTAAGTTCCTCCATCAACATTTCTGGTTTTTCTCTTTCAACGAATAGCATGTGTCACAATCTTATTTATATCTTGCCGCTCTACCCCAAACCTCTTTCAACCTCGAGCCTAGGAGAGACCTGGAGAAAGAATAAACGATCCCCGCGTAAGCGCGTCATCACAATGTTAAAAGATTTAGGAACTTTCCCAGCGCCCCCTACCCCGGAAGCGGGGAGTCGGGGAAAGAAAGCCCCGTCCAGCGAGTCTCTAAGTCGCCAAGACTAGGTTGAAACAATCGGCCCCCCCGAGATGAAACACATTCACACCTCTCTCCACACACCCACTCACACCCCATAAACACACTCTTCTAGCTAGAGCCAAAGCACAAGGCTGTTCTTTTCACCCACAACCTGGAGTGGTCGCCGTGGAGAAGGACCGGGAGGAAAGGTCAGAGCCCAGCGGGGCTCGGAGAGGGGGAAGTTGTCCCGGAACCCCCAGGTCCGGCCGCCTGGGGTCTCCGGCTGGGAGGCTGCCCCTCCTGGAGCCTCCGCAGTCCAGAATGAGAGTTTTCAGTTGGGCGAAGGCGCCAGGGATGCAGGAGAAGGCAACGAGGCAGCCAACGAGACCGGGGCTCTGAAACAAGCGGGAAAGGGCGGGAAGGGGCAAAGGGCGGCCGGGGAGGGTGAAAAGGGGAAGCTACGGCCCAGCGGGAGAATTCGGAGAAGCAAGACGGGGCAGGGGCAACAAGAGGACAGGAAGGCAGGAAGGAGCCAGAGAGTAGAGCTCGGCAGGGTCAGGCCGCAACAGCCGAGGAGGTGACGAAGAGGCCCAAGCCCGGCCCGGCCGGGCCCCGCAGTCAGCGCCCCGGCGCGACGCGACAGGAGGCGGACCGAGCCCCAAAAAACCGCCCGCGGCCTGGTTGAGCCATGGGGGGGACGAGGGGCGGTGCCGCGACCCCTCCCAGCCAGGACGCTCACCTTTTCGCACTCCGGTTACCCAATCCGGCCGGTTCGGGTTGTCCGTCCCGGATCGCCGGAGCCTGACTGACCCGGATCCAAACCCGCGGAGGGGGCGGCCCGCGCCTCGGAGTCGCACTGCGCCTGCGTCACTCGGCACGCGCCGCGCCCTCTGTTTATGCTCCTCCCGCCTCCGTGACTCGGCAGCGCGGCAGGCGGTGACTGCGCAGGCGCCGAGCAGAGGCCACGCCTCTCCGACGCCTCGCCACCGCCCTCTCGGAAGCACGTGCGCTTGCGTCACTTCCTGTTATTCTCTTTGCTCCCTCCTCCGTGCGCCTCGGGTTCGCTCCGACCGGCTTGTGGGGCGCGTCTACTTCCTCCTTCTTCGGGCGCGTGAGTAGGCGCTGTTCCTCACCTTCGCGGAGCAGCCTCCACTTCGCGGGGCTCGCTGAGCTCCAAGGCAGCGGAATTCCTTGGGGATGAGGCCGGGGTGGGAGTCTTCACGGCTGCGGAGCCCCTCTGAGCGCTTAGCCCGCCTCCTCTGGACCGCCTGCAACACCTCCACAGGGCTCGGACCCTAGCCTTCGCCTCCGGGGGGTCTTTCAGGGCCAAGGCCAGGAGTTGAGACCGGAATTGACATTGAAAAGGCCTTCGCTTTAGTGATCCTGTTGTTGGACTTGAGCAACTGCTTTTACCGTTCTCTGCCTCGGTTTCTCCATCTGTTAAGTGAAGAATCAGCTAATTTCGTTTTTCTCAGGCATGGAATCCTTTAAGAACCTGGTGAGAAATAATAGACCCTTTCGAAGAGAAATGCATTAAATGTTTAGAAAAAAATTTAGGTAGCCCATCTACGTAGGTGATTTTTTCATTTTTATGATTCTGATG